TTTCTTCGAATAATAAAATATTAATAATAATAAAAATAATAATAGCTGTAGCAATAATGGTAATAATAATCGTAAAAAAATAACAATAATTAAAGAAGTATAGTTAAATTTATAATTTTATATGGTAATATTATTATTTTTTGACGGAACATAATAGTCGAGTGGATGGTACTTTAGATTAATCTTGGCGTAAGACAAAGCAAAATGTGGTTACTACCTTCGATAGTAGTGAAGGAGTTATAGAATGATGCTATTCATCTCGCTCATCTGTACTTGGCCTTTATTTATTTATTTTCTCTGATAAAAGTTTCTTATCATGTTAGTAATCATTGAACGAAACAATGAAGCCAAAGTAGAAATGTCCACTAATTTTTTTTTTCCATGCATATAATATTATTAAATAATTTTTTGCAAAACATTTTAAAATATTGTAAATAAATTCAAATTTGTTAGGAAAAAATTTTAGATTTTACCATTCTTTGATAAAAAATTTGATAAAAAATTCTCATTTAAGTTTAATCTTTAATTTATTTTATTTAATTGAATTTAATATTTATTATAAATTTTTAAATTTAAATTTTTATTTCACTAGATAAAAAATATTTTAAAATTTAAAAAAAAACAAATTAAATATTTCATTTATTTATTTAATTATAAATTTTCTCATTTCAGTTATCGTAGTTAAATGTAAAATGTTTTGAAGTTTCCCTAATCTGATAAGCAATAATAAAGGAGATAGAATAGTTTAGTGAGTTGTTGTGATTTCGAAGCCTTGACACGACGGTTCTCCATCCGACATGGAAAAAATTTTCAAAAATCTGGATAATACTAGTGATTCATTTGTGCTGCTAGTGCTAATGTCTGGCAAGCCAGCGAAGCGAGCCTCATTACAAATAGTGAGACGTATAGTAAATAATATAAAAGAGATATAATATAATACTATAAAATTGTAAAATATAAAATTATATTTTCCTTTTTTTCACAAGTTTAAATTTTTTTTAAAATTTTGTATTTTATATTTTTCATATTTGTATATAAAAAATAAGTTTATATTTTTATTATAAGTTTATATTTTTTATTCTAAATTCTATAGTGTATAAAATTAAAAAAGAAACACTCACATATAATATAAAGAATATATGAAATTAATTTTTTGTCAAATATAATATATATTATTGGCAATTAATTAATTTTTAGAAAAATATTTAAAAATTAATTTTCAATAGAAATTTTGAAAAAAAAATTTAATTTATAGCCAAAATAAAAATGAAACATTTCTTTTTTTTTATTTTTAATTGAAAACATTAAAAAAAGAAATAAATAAACAAAATTTTTATGGATTCTTTTTTTTCAAAAATTTTTATAAAATTTTTTTTTTCTCATTTTTCAAATAAACATTAATTTTTGCAATATAAGTCACTACTATATAAACTAAATTTATTTAAAATAATCATTTAATTTATTATTTAAATTACAACAAAATAATTCGATATCTTTTTCCTCATTCGATCGTTATTTCCCATCTTATTTTTCGTTCTTACATTTTTCGAAGAAATACGAATTTACGTCAAAAATTTTTTCATTTACAAATCGCTTAATATAAATTCGATGCTTATGCTTAAAAATTTTTTAATTTTATATATATATATATGTTTATTTTTTTAATATTTTTCATTTTTTTATATTTTTTGAAAAAGCAAAAAAATTTAAACCACTAATTTCCTTTCAGTTGGTAACCATATAAGCATTATTGTTAGGTATTGGATGGCGTTTGTCGTTCTACTTGATTATATGAATTTCAATTAAATGAAATTATAAAAAATATAAAAATAATTTTATAAAGATAATAATTTATAAAAGATTGAAATAAATTAAAAATTATTTAATAGCAAAAATATGAATTGAAGAAGAACAATGAATAAAAAATAATATTATATAAATATTATTAAATAATAATACAAATATAAAAAAATATAAATAAATAAAAATATTATATAAAATTTATATAATATATAATATAAATAATATAATATAAATAAATAAATAAATAATGATCCTAAATTGATCAACATTTATTTATTTATTTATTTAATGAGTTCAAATGCAGTCAATTGTTAGAATAAAATCAAAAATATTTCTTTATTAGAAATAAAATCGTATTCGATTTGCTCTCGAATAAATCGAAATTTCCAATTGATTATTATATGTGATAATTTAGCGTTTTATCATCTCACATAGATCAAATGATAATTTTTTTTTTCGCTCATTTTAAAAACGATTACGTTAATTCGATGCTATGACGACTTTGGATATTGATGAAAATAAATAGAGGATAGCAACGAAAAAAATTTTCATATGAAAATTTGAAAATTTGTTTGAAAAAGAAATTTAAAAAGGAAAAAAATTTATTTTTTTATCAAAAATAGAAAATATTTAATTTTTAAATTTCGAAAATAAATTTTTAAAATAAAAGTAATAAAAAAATTCATATTTTTTCTATTTTAAGCATTTTTTAAATGTTATTCATATTCATAATTTTTTTTTTATATTTTTTATTTTCACGTCATTTTTCACTTATTACTTCGCTTCGTTCGTTTTATTCAACATTTCTTCAAATTTATTTTGTTGTAATTTAGGAATGTAAAAGAACGAAAAAAAAACGAGTCTTTTTAAAAAAATAAAATTTTATTCGTTCATTGCGATTTTAAAAAATTTAACCTTCAAACCATTTTTTATTATTTCGTTTTATTTCTTTTTGTTGAATTTTTTTTAATATTTTTTAAAATGAAAATCAAAAAAAATCAAAAATTAATTTTTATACAATTCTTATTAATATTATTTTTAATTTAAATATTACTTATTGTTTTTTCTATTATATAAAAAATATATAAATAATTTTATGTTTTTTCTTTTATTCGAAAATTTTTATAAATTATATACACCATTCTTTTTTTAAAATTATAATCAATTGTTACAATTATAAATAATTAAAATTAATTTTAATAAATTAATTTTATTTATTAAAATTAATTTTAATAAAATTATTAAAATTTTTTATTAAAATTAAAATTTTATTTAAAAATTATTTTTATTTTTATTTATTTATTTTTAAATTATTTATTATTTATTTATTTTAAATTATTTTAATAAATTATTTATTTTTAAAAAATTATTATATTCATTATTGTTTTCATTATAAAATCCATTTTTATTTATTTTTATTATTATTTATCATTTATTTATTATTATTTTTATTACTAATTCTAATAGTTCTGCGATAAAAAAAGAAGCAAAAAATTTTAACAAATACATTTTTAATAATTTAATAATAATAGTAATTCAATAATAATAAATAATAATGAAACAATGAATAATAATAAATTGCAGCAATGATATGGAAAAGGATTCGTTTCGATTATCATCAAATTCACCAACAAAACAACCGTTATTACAAAATTCAAATAATTCAAAAAAATTACCTCCAACCATTATTTTAAGGTTTTTACAATTTATAATTTTACACACTATTATTAATAACTTTAATGATTTATTTTAAAACGATATCAAATTGTTATCAATAAAACGATATCAAATTGCTATCAATAAAAAATTGTTGATAATATGATAAGAGTAATAACAGCATTCTTTCATGCGTTTTTTTCCCAGTTTTGTCAATATTAATTAAATTTCGATTATTTTTTCATTTAATTTCGACAATTCCACAGAAAAAACCCCATTAATCATAACAAATTTAATTTATTCATTATATATGTTGGATTTTTTGCATGCATCTACGCTTGCATGCCACGTGAGTATTAACAATGAATAAAATCGCTATTTTTCTATTATATAATTTCCTTTGTTCCTAATTGTCGAAATAAAATGAAACATTATCAAAAAAAAATGATAAAACTAAATTAATTATGATAACAGACCGAATAATCTATGAAAAAATTTTAAATTTCAGTACAGTGGACGACGAGCAAACTTCAACGAAAGTTATTTATGAATATAAAAACGATATTCATAACAATAATAATAATAATGGTGATAACGATGATAAAAACAACGTGAAAAGTTCGAAGACAAATGCAACGAAATTTATTATTCGTTACAAAAAAGCTTTTTTGATCTTTTTCATTTCAATAATTTTTATTATTTTTCTTTTAATAATTTTCACTTTTTTTTTATATTATCCATCATAATATTATAATTTTGTAAATACATTTATTATTAATTTTCTATTTTTATTAACCTTTTTATCCTCATTTTATTAATCCTTTTTTTTATCAAATTATTTCAAAGAAGAATGAATTCTTTGATATGATAATTTATCATTTAATAAATGTTTACTTCTCGTTATTTTCTTTTGCATTTTTCTTTAAAATTAATAGATATAAATTTTGTTTGAAATCACAAAAAATAAATAACCGCATAGCTTAACCGATTTAATTTTCTAAAAATTCTCTCATCAATATTCATTAAGGTAATTTCTATAATTTATACTAAAAATCAAAAACAACATTCTGATAAAATAAAAATTTTCACGGCAGTCATAAATTTTCGCTGATAAATCACCGTTTTTTCTTTTTCAAAATTATAATAAAAAATCTCAAAATTAACACTTATAACACTTCATCCTCAAACACAAATATTTGTAAAAATTATAGTGAAAATTAAATCAAAAATTTTATATATAATTACATATCTAATTACTTATAAACGAAAAGAAGATGATAAAAATCATCAAAAAATATTCGATGAGAAATGAAAAGATGTCTAACAAAGTTAATTAATAACAACAATATATCACAATTAAAAAATTTTGATTTTGCATAGTTCATGAAAATATAAGAATAGCATAATCAGTAGGCTTTTAGTCAAAAGTCGCGATTCCCGATAATAATAATAACGACGATGAAGTGGCTCCCATTTCTTCTAATTCTTCAACTTTGCCTTCTATCCATTCACGAATTAGATTCTAAATGAAATATTTATTTTCATATTTCTAACTTTCTTTTCTGCTTCAATTTCAACCTTGAAGCAAGAAATTTTTTTAATTTAACGATATTTATTGATGGTTCGTTTATTAGCAGAAAAACTTCCATTAATCGAGATTTTAAATGCGCAATTTTTTTCATCAGATGACTAAACTTATATATAAAAAATGGTTTAAACTTATACTTATATATAAACTTATATATAAAATTAAATATTGAAAAATAAACTTGAGCGTTGCGAACAATTAATCGAGCTTGCTTTCGATTTAGATGCATTAATTGATGAACTAATGTGTTTGGATCGGCTTTAGCTACATCACCTACTGTTTTGTATCCTGAAAAAAAATTATTTGATAGATCTTTAATCATTTAGTAAATATTTTAAATAATCCATTAAAAGGAAAGAATCAGGCGTTGAAAATTCTAATTCTTACGAATATAACTAACATACCCTACATAAATATTTGCGGATATGCCAGAAAAACTTTTCTAAAAAATTTTTCTAATATTTATTTCAACTAATGAATAAATACCTTTTTCATAAAGTTGACGGGCGCGCCCAGTCTTAACACCTTCTATAGCCAGTAATGGAACCAATTCTTGTTGCCTACATTGTCTCAAACGCTGTACAAGATCCGGAAGAAGAAGCTTAAGAGGCCACAAATCAGGGACTTTCTAAAAAAATCTGTTTTCCGAAAATATATCATAAATTTAACATTTTCACGGAGTATTCCTGATAAAATTCTTCGCATTTCCCTTAAACAAAAAAATTTTGGAAAAAAAATTTGGAAAATTTTGGGAAATTTGAATAAAGGAAAAAAAGAAAAAAATAAATAAATACATATTATTAGATGAATGAGAGTTCACATGGAAAATCTTAAATGAATAAAATATCTTTAAACCAAAAATAAAAGTCGAAGAAAATATTTAATGGGTTTGGAGGAAATTTTGGAAAATAGCAAGTTTTGCAATTACAAAAAAAGATACTTCACAAAATCTTGCTATGGAGGATGCTTGCATACAAATAGACTGAAGTGTGCTTTGAATCCAGCCACGCGTAACTCTAAATCGACTTGCAACACAAGAAAACGATTCCTGATTCCATATTCGTAACATCATGAACGTGATATATAAACGAATAGCCTTATCTCCAGCATTCTATAAATCATAGCTAAATAGTTAAAAGTTATGATTACGTTATTCCTTCGGCTTTCTGAAAAACTGATAATACTGGCCAGTTCTATGAATATTTACAAGTTAACTGTTCTGATCCCAATTTCACTATCAAATTAATTTGCATGCTCACTAAACTCATACTTTCTTAAATTAAATTTGAAATAAATTTCAATAAATTTATACGAAAAAATTCAAAATATCTCCAAAAAAGAACTGGTTAAAGCTAACTGTTTTTTTGGTTGACTTAAATCAAATTATTTGATCAACATTTCAGAGTATAAAAATAAAAATGGCCATAACGAAAATTATAAAATAAAATTATAAAATTAATAGATGCAAAGATCAAAAAAAAATTGATATAATATAATTAACGGAATAAATAAATAAAAAAAGAAATGATGTTCGTAAAAGAAATAAAAATAAACCAGATTTGGACGAGACACGAGAAATTTAACTAAATTATTTTCCTGAAATCCTAACCGCATCAATAAATTTCGCTCTGCATTCGGCATTTTCATATACTAAAAAATTTTAAAAAAAATTAGCCAAATTTTATAGAGGAATTAATAGATCATTGATATATTCATCTAATATAAACTAGATGTGGAAAGTGAGGGCTAAAGTAATTCTAGATAATTGCAGCATTGGAATTGTAACCTCAAAACAAAAATCGCTTCAGCAAGTTCGATGAACAACATCAAAGATTTCTGACCAGAAAAACACATTGATAGGAAAAACTAAAATATTCCTCACAATTTCCCAGATCTCTGGTGGAGGACCAAAAGTTAAGAATGATTATCAAGGGGGATGGGAATAAGAATTATTTTTTTTAAAATGAAAATAGAATAGAAAAGCAAAAAAAGGATTGATCTCATAATGCAAATAATAAAAGATAAAATCCTAACCTCATCGTAAAAAATATGCCAATCTATTTCTATGTATATATCGAATGGAATGAGAATAAATATTATATGAAACTGAGATGAAAGAACCAATCCCTAAAAGAACTAATATTTAAATAAGAATATTTTTCAAATCAATATTTATAAACCAGAAATTTACGATATCTTTTAACTGAAAAACCGTAATCATTTATTGCAAATTAGTTGAGAGAATGAAATCTAATAATTTTCAGCCCTAAGCCTTCTATTCCCATATACTACATTTTAAACGATGAATTTAACCAATTTTCTAACTAAATTTGAAATAGTTTTAAATCCATTTGGTATAATAAATCAACTAAAGAATATACTTCAGAGAGATTTTTCACTAACTGATTAACAATGACTTGAACGCTAGCTGGAAAAATATTGGATGCAAATGCCGCATCTCCTAACACGGATTTTCGTAGATCGCCATTCTGCAATGGATAATTAATTAAATATGACTGATAATAACTAAGCAAACACTGAAAAAAAATAAAATTAATAAAAATGAATATATAAAAAAAAACGAAAAATTTTTTAGAAAAACCGAGTCTAAAGTTATCAATTTTTGAGCGCGCAAACGTAATAGCGATTGGGTTATTTTTTCATTAACATCTGTATTTTGAATTCCGAATAGCGACCTTTTCATACATTTTTCAATATCGCATATATTTCCGCATATCTATAAGCCAATTATAAGAAAAAACTGTTGAAAAAAAGACTAAGATGTCGAAAAAATAAAAAAACTAAATACCCAAAGAAAAGAAATGGAATCATTTTTATCATTTATCTTTCCTATGCTGACATAGAATTGCCTAAAATGTGAAATTATCTGAAATTGTAAATATATAAAAAATCAAAAAATCAAATGCATACTTTCAAACAAATAAGATCTAAAATGAAGGAGGACAGTAATTCTTCATCGCATAAAGCACTTTTACAACTCGATAAAGGACTTGCAAGCATTTCGAAAAACTAAAAAATAATCCTATTTGTAAACACATTGTACACTTGGAAAATTTCATTATAAAATTGGGATTAAATGAATCAAAAGCAAACATACTGTATCTGCTTCATGACCAGGATGCACAATAGTAACCGATTCACCAAGATTATCAAAACCTGGTCGTCCAGCACGTCCAATCATTTGCAGATATTGTGCTTTTTTAATCGGTTCAATCCCAACGAAAGGTTTTTTAATAATGACTCGTCGAGCAGGTAAATTAACGCCTGCAGCTAATGTTGAAGTTGAACATATGATGGTAATAATTCCTTCCTATAAAAAACGATTTTTTCATCTTTTCTTTAAACTTGAAATTTAAAACTCGATTTTTTAGAAATCTATCTATCTTTACAAAATCTATCTTTACAAGTTTACTCAAGTGTAACAAACTTATAACAAACTTTAAGAGGGAGGAGGAAAAGGAGAAAAGGAGAAAAAAATAGTCCTAAAATAGTCGATTTTTTTTGATGAAAATAAAAATAGTCATAATAACTATTCAATGATAAATCAAATAGATAGATTCAAACCCAAAAATTTTACGTGATATGCATCTTCTATTATTCTTCTCTCATCAGCAGTAAGTCCACTATGATGAAATGCTACACCAGCGAGTATCAACATTTCTAAAATTGAAGAAATTTGGCCATCTTGTTCTTCACGCAACGCATTTAGAATATCCGCCTTTTCTTTTATTTTCTGTTGACGCATAGTTCTTAAATAAATATTTTAATAAAAAAAAATAAAATTCCCAAGTGAGATTTTTGTGGATTCAATGGTTGAAATTACTTTATTTTTTTTTTAAATATTTAATCCCTTTAACTTAATAATATATAAAATATTTTAATAATACTTTAATTTATGTAATGTCTAAAAATTTACATTTTAATACAATGGGTTCGAACAATTTGGATAAAAATTTTTGAAATGAAATACTTTGGTATGACTGAAGCGATCATTTTAGCAACATTTTCACAATTTTTTTTTGTTGGACAAAATATTATCACCGAATTATGTGGCATTATATCTTGAAGTAATGAAATGAGGCCATCCGGATCTCGTTTTTCAAATTTCTAAACTATTAAAATCTTTCAGAAAAATAATTTTATAAATATCATTATCGAATATTATAGAAATATTACATAGAAATAGAAATAGAAAACATATATGGTACCGAATGCATCATAAACATTAAACAACTGAGATAAAAAAGTTAAAAATTTTGAAAACGTCTAACATTTCCACCGAGATTTAATTCAGCAACTAATTTTCCATTTGAATCAACTCGATACAACATATTATCCATTTTAACTTTTTCAATCAGTTCAACCTGAAATCACTCACCTTTATTTATTTTTCTCCTTTATTTTACATAAAACATTGTAATTTTTTGACAATTGTTTAACAGGAAAAAAAAAGTTACCAACGTAATATCACCGAAGATGAAATAATGTAGTGCAAGTAATTAATGACGAATATCTCTATTTATTCTAACAGGGCATCCCAATCGTTTAACCCACTTATTGGTAATTCAAATGTTGATCTTTCCCATGTTAGCCCTTCCAGCGATTGACTCTCTGGTTGTATGTGATATGAGTTCATTGCTGGTCTTCATCACCTTTTCCTTCCTGGTTCATTTGTTCCTTTTCCTCATTTTTCTGTATATAAAATCGATTTTTAGCGTTATTATTTTTCTCCTGTAGGCATATCCTTATTTTTCGTTTTCCAACTCCATTCGATATCAATCAGGACAATATTTAAGCGGCTGGTTTTCATATGCTCATCCTCGTTTAAACGAAAAATGGAAAATCTTAAAATTATAATTTATACTCGAGCAGTATGAACGTTGAAAGAAATTCTTTAATATGTGCACAATCAGATTTTCTTTCATCTTTGGAGTTCAGTCAATACCTGCGAAAATGTTAAAATTCAAATAATGCCGCTGAAAGAACCTTCTCCGAAAATTAACTTAAAAACAAATCGAACAGTATGGAAAATCTTGCTATTTAGCAAAAATATTACAGGCAAATTACAGATCCTTTGACGATATTTACTTAAGTGGATAGGATTTCAAGAAAATAATCTAGTTAAATTTCTCGCATCTTGTCCGAATCTGGTTTTTATTTCCTTCACAGATTGCAGGCCCTTTGATGATGTTTATCACTTATAAACTTTTGGAAAAATTAAAGCTGGGTGAGGAAAAATACAACAAAAAATATATCACTCACGATTGAATTAGAATTAGCTGATAAATTTCTTTCCTTTGAAAAACAACCCAACTAAACCGCAGGAAATGTTATTATAATCGACCTTTCCACAAGCTTTTCTATAAATTCTGATACGATAAATTCCTAGTCGTTTTCCAGTTCTGGTTGAACCTTTGCAAATACATTATAAGAAGATGTCTTAGACATATTTGATAGATTATGAAATTTTTATAGCCTTCATGGATTCCTATTGGACCTTCGTTGATCCTGGTCTTTACTGATCTTTCTTTGGTTTTTCATTAGTTGTGCCCAATTAAAAATAATAGTAGTTTCCATTTCCATATTTTAAACTCGCTTTTGGTTAAAAGTAAAAATATTATTTACATATTATACCTGCAAAGTTAAGTCAAATTTGAACAGATTAATATTGCTAAATTTCCACACTATCAACCCTCAACTTCTTTGACAAATTTTTCGATCAATCATACTATCAATGATAAGTTAAAATAGAGAAATGAAAAAGATATACCGGTCTATAATCAGTTATAAAAGTTGATGCACCAAGAAAATCAGCAATTTCTATTATATTAGATAAAGTAGCTGATATTCCTATAATTTGTCCAGTGCCTAAAAAATTCCGATATTGCAAAAAATTGCAATACTTCAGAAAAAATTAAGAAAAATCTGTGGGATTCGCCTTCCAATGAGCAACTATAAAAAATTAAATTTAAAAAACTTAAAAATCGAGAAAACAGTTCATTCTTTCCTGTTAGTGCCATTATTACCATTATTATTATTATTTATTATATTATTATTAAATATTACCAGTTTTATATTAAATATTATTATTTAAATATGTTTTATGTTTTATTTTTTTTGACAAATAAACTCAAACATTAGAAATTGAAGAAAAAATAAATGAATGACTCCTTATTCATATATTCAGTGACCAAAGAATCGATATAATAAATAATTATATGTATAAATAAATATCGAAATTTGATGAAATGAGAATTACCTTTAAATAAAAATTTTGAAAGAATTTGTTCGATCGTTGCACCACGTGCCCCATCGCCAATCATATGCAACTAAAAATTATATATATATATATATTTGTTCATCATTATGACTTTTTTCAGCCAACACCGAAAACTTGGTTAATAACCATTCTGCATTTGCAAAAGCTATTTTTTATTTCAGCCTTTTTTCCCTTTTACCTCTTTTAGTTTTTTAAAAATTAACTCCAAGGAAGTAAATAAAATAGAAAAAATCATCAATAAAGATGAAAAATATGAAAAATATCTTACTTCATCAATTACAATAACTCCCAATTCAGAAATCCGGTCTTCTATTATTAATGAATTTATTAAAATGTTTGCTTTTTCGATAGTTGCAACATATATTGAACATCGATCACGCCTCTTCACTGGTGGCAAGCGTCCTATATTGCACCAATAAAATTTGAAATTTGATATGTCCTATCATGCAAAAAAGAAATAGTGCATATTTTAACAAACCCTTATTAGCAGCATATTCTTCGATCCATATTCGAACAGTTTCACTAAGGCTGTTCAATGATAGAACCTAAATAAGATATTTTACTGAATAACGATCCAGCACTTCAGTTCTCATACAAATAGATTATTTATTAATTTAAATCTTATTTGGTATTATTTATTTTGAATTACTGTCAATACTAGAATACTTATTTATACCTTTTCTTGAGCTATAGCGACATAAGGCACAATTAATAAGCAATTCCTTTGGCGCAAAACCACTTCGCGCAACATCATTACCTTAAACAAATATTAAACCATAATTTATAAAATTACATCAATTATATAAGTATCAAATTTATACTCAAATAATATTTTAAAAAACCATAAATAAATGAAAAACAATATGTTTTCAGAAGAACCACTGAGCCATAGAATTCACCTACCCTACTAAGAACGAATGTGTCGTAAATGATTGAGAATATGAAATATGGAAATAAAAATTACTCTTGAAAACTTGTGAAAACGACCACCTCAGCGATGAGAGTTTTTCCAGCGCCAGTTGGTAACGAAATCACCATATTAGAACCATTTAACAGCCTCTGATCAGAAAGACATTCTTTTTGCCAATCTAAAAATTTCTAAGAATCATTTTAATGGAGCAAATCGAAAAAATAGAAATAAAAAATTCATTGTTGCCTACATTTCTCTCTCTATTCAGCGAAAAAAGTTAATAAGAAATCTGATTTTTCACAGGAAGAAATTATTGAGAAAAAAAAAAAATTATAATAAAACCAATGATTGAAATGATCAACCATAGAGTTGCTTAATGTTTTTCTTCTCCAAATATAGTCGAATAATTTCATTTGGAATCCCAACAAAAAATTCTGAAGGCAGTGATTCCGAACTTAATTTTTCATTCTCCTGATGGATATTCTGGAAAAATTCAAAAAATAATAAAGAATAAAAATAAGCTAAAAGAGCTACAAATCTATTGTCATTTATTAAAAATCCATGAAAATTAATAATATCATTTTTGAATGATCAAAATCAAAAAAAAACTTATTAAAAAAAATATTTTTGAATGATTTTCAAGAATTGAAACCTGTTCTTTAAGTAATGTTAATGAGCCTTTCTGTCTTTCTGGAGAATTTAACCGATTTGGAAATCCTAAAAAAAATTCTACTGATGAAAATCATAGATTTCAAAAGTAGTATAAAAAAAATTTCAATTTAACCATAAATTTTTATAAAGGAAAAAATTCTTTATTTTTAAAAATTTAAAATTTCACTTAGAACATTTCAATTTTTTATTACTTTTCTCAAAACATTAATTATTAATTATATAACAATAATTAATAAAATTCATAGTTAACAATATTAAATAATTAATAATGATGTAATAATAATAATATTAAATATATAATAATAAATATTTAAACCTTGAATTGTGTTTATTTGTTTTATTTTATCACTCAAATTTTCAGATGATCCAATTTCAGTGAATTCTGTTGAAGATCGATTTACTTCTAAAATCGACAACTGCCGAATCGAATCGATTTGTGAATTGCTACTCATTGAATCGAAATGTGTTCGACGAAAAATCGAATATTCAAAAATATCTCCCGAAAAGCTATAATCGTGACCGTTAAACAATTGTATTCTTCTATTGTTATCAAATCGTTGACTATTTGATTTTTCATATGCATCAAAAAGTTTTCACTTCTAAATAAAGTGAAATTATTTATTATTAAAATTATTATTATTAAAATTATTCATTTAGTTCTAAGTGAAACCTATCAAAAACTAATTTGACCAATCTCGCCTAAAGTGAATTATTTGTAGAGAGGATGAAATTTTAAATAATTTTCATTTTAATTAAATTAAATTAAATTAATTTAATTAATTTAACAAGTTAATTAATTTAAATTTCGATTAATTTGTTAATTTATCGATTAATCAATTAATTAATTTAAATTTAACCATAAATTTTAATTAATTTTAATTTTTATTAATTAAATTAATTAAAACTTACATAAATTTCACATATAAATTCTAATATTAAAATACCTTAAAATTTAATTCATTCAAAAAAAAATTGAAAAAATAAAATAAAATGATAAAAAGAAAAGTAATTTTGAATAGAATGACTTAAAGAAACCATTCTTATTGAGCTTATTTTTCGAAATGCCTATGCAAAGTGGCTCAGTTTTAATTTTCCAGCAGAGGATTGCCCATTTCAAGATCGCTGCAAGCGACTCATCTAAATCTTTTATCGCCAAGTGATTCCCTATTATCAAAATTTATTTGATTTGATTTGAAGTTAACAAAACAAAATAAACCTAAACAGAAACGGTAACCGCTCCTCGAACGTTCAAATAAAAAATAGCAAAAGTAAAAATAGAAAAAAAATTGAAAAAATCATAAAATATTAGTGAAATAATAAGAATTCATTATAAAATATATTCATTATAAAATAAGCAATTAAGTATATTAAATTAAGTTTATATTTTAAAGTCAAACAAAAATTATTTTAATAGGCTTTGCTGTCTAAAACTTAGGCCCACTTAGGCCCTTACATTATATTATTATAAGGCCCTATTAGGCCCTAAAATTGCTCGCTTAAGGACTAATAATATTAGATAATATTATTTCAACAATTTAAAGCATTATGCATTTCTCTAATTTTAAAATTTCCCCATAAAAGAGATCTCATTTAAGAGATTAGTGGAACCTAACAAATCAATAATAATAAAACAATAATAAATAATATTAAATAAATAATCAATAAAATAAAATAGTTATTTTTATAGAAAAGAAAAAAAATATGAAAATTACAATTATTTTTAGGCAAATTATTATTAAATTCGTATTAAATTTTATAAAAATATTTGTTTTTTTTCAAATTTTTAAAAAATAAAAAAATAAAAACAACCTTGGAGATTTAGGATTTTTTTTAGTTCCACGTTTATGACGATAACGGCGTTTCTTTTTCACTTTATATGCAAATTTATTAAAAAAAACAAATCGTCTAACCTCGTCAAAGGAACTAAAAATTCGTGAAGTTGACATTTTTTTTAAAAAAACTCATTTTGGTCCTAGAACGAAATTATCAATACGGTAGTTTTTTTTAAATAAAATAATTTTTAATAATTTTTTTAAAGAATTTCATCGATAATGACATTTTTTCATTTTGTTAATTGTATAGCGCTTGCTTATTCGCCCTATTTTATCGCTTACAAATATACTGGTTTATCCGAATATAGTTCCATTTGGAAATGCGCTTATGCAGCTCTCGTTTATTTTTTGACTCAACTTGTTAAAATGCTCGTTTTAGCGACATTTTTTCCGGCGAGCGATGGTGAAACATTTGAAATTTTACCGGTAATTCTATTAATTATTTAATACATTTTTATTTATTAATATTTTTTTTTAAAGAAATTTTAGAAAATAAAAAGATTTTACGAGAGTTTTTTTTAATATTAGAAATTCGAATTAGAAAAAGATTTGTTTGTTTGGCGAAAAATTGCATTTTATTAACCTTAAAACGATATTTTAAAAATATAAAATTTTTAAATATATTTGGAGAATTTGGAGAAAAAATTTTGAAACAAATTCTGTAAATTAATTATATATAAGCGAAATTTTATTTATAATTGAAATTTTTTTTATAATTTTTTTTTTTAATAAATAATTTTTTATTAAAGGAGCTAATGAAAAGTAGTGCCGATATTTTTGATGTGATTGGACTTCATCTCGTTATTATGAATCTTATCGCTGGAAAAAGTGAAATTCGTTTTTTGGCCACTGGTATTGGCTGGGCATTTGCACATAGGTTATCTAATTTATTTATTATTTATTTATTCATTTATTCATTTATCTAAAAATTATGTAAAAAAACTAATCAGTAGATAAGTGTATACAATAATAAAATGAATAGATAAAATCTTAAAAATTTTGTATTTTTATGTTTTTGTTATTTTTTTACTGATAAGATTAATCAGATTCAAAATATTTTACTCATTTCTCTAGTGTTGCAAGTCGACTTGTTGGCTTTTGGGTTGGAGCTCGGGCAACAGCTTTTCATTGGAAATTTATTCAAATGGCTCTCGAATCTAATATAGATTTGATATTTTATATAGGTAAATTGATTTAAATATTTTTTTCTGCTTTTGATTTATTTGTTTGTTCTCTTCTTAATTGTTGTATTTCCTTAATTTCTTTCCTTAATTTATCATCATCCTAATTTTCTTTATTCATTTATTAAAGAAAATTCTTTTCTCTTTATTTATTCCTTGGAAGTTCAGATTTTTTTATTGTGAGAGTTTAAAATTTTTGGTTGCTTTCGACGAATTTTGCTACAAACCATTCCATTTGAACAATTTGTTTAAAAAACAATAATCAAATAGAAATTGAAATGATTGGAATTTTCAAGGGATAGAGAAGCTTCTTATTTTTTCCTCTTTAAATATTTCATATTTTTATTATTTTAATATAATTCTTATAGTTGTGCTTGTATATATAATAATAATAATAGTTTTTTAATTTTTTTTTAAATCACATTTTATTATGAGTTGAAAATATTTACAGCAATGGCAGCGCTTGTTTGGTTATTTTCACGAAATGATTTAAAAAGCAAAATGAAACGTTTTGTCGCTTTATTGATTGCATTTTGTGTATTTCATGTCTTCATCTATGAGTAAGTTTTTTTTCCAATGATAAGTGGATAGGTAGAAGAAAAAAAAAGGATGAAAAATTTTATATTTTTGTAGAAAATATTTCTGGAAACGCTATCTTTTTATTTCTTTTCAGTGTGAAAAAAAAAGTTAAAAAGAATTTGAGCAAATTTAAACGTTTGCAAAATTGCATAATTTTAATTTTTCCTCAAATTAATATATATATTTTAGTGCGGCTGTTTTTTATCTTGGATTTCGATCATGGATATTGCTTGCAGTAAAAGCCTTATTAAATATTGTTCTTAGTGCTTGCACTTTAATTGCTTATTCCAGTCTTGGTTCACATAATATTTATCGAAATTGATCTATATTACTATCATGGTTTATACCAAAGGAATTTGGAGGTATAATTCCATACTTTTCCCTACCAAGAAATTTAAGTGAACTTTAATTTTTAAACAAATATTTAAACAAACAAACAAACAAACAAATATGATCTATTTATTGTTCTTTAAAAAAACTTAAAATTTTGATCTCTGCAAATCTGCATTCATTGATTAAATCGCTCTGGGTTATTTGGAAAATTTTTATTATAATTTTTTATAATAATTATATAATTTGCAAATTTGCAAATAATTTTTTCTTTATTTCTTTGATATCACTTCGTTTAATTCTTTAGTATAAATTATACTTCAAAAGCACTGAACACAAGTTATATATACATATTTTTTCTTTTTTTTTTGAAGTTGAATATATTAATTAGAAAATTTCTAATCTTTAAATTACATTTTTCATTTTTTATGTTTTATATTATTGTATTTTATATTTTAAGTTCATTCATTGCTTAAATCGTTTTTTAGCTAAACTGAATGTTGTATGACATTTTAGAAGAAATCTCGTAATGTTCAAAGTCAAAATCGTTGAATTAGATCCCTATATCTCAGTGATTTCCAGGAAAAATCCATGATTTTTGCTGTTTTTTAAACAATATCAAAGTTTTTTTCTTATTATGCATACAAAATATTTTAAGAAATCGAAAAAGTTAGTAGTCATGCTTAGCCAAAATTTAAAGACTTTACGAAATAGCAAATAATAAATTGAAGTTTGCGTTTAAATTATATACAAAGTAATTAAGTAATTAGTAATATGTAAGTAATTAAGGTGAACTTAAAATACAGTAATCAAGTTTGAGGTCAAAATAATTACTGCTATTATGGAATTCAAATTCGTATAAACCCGGTCTTAGATTTTCTATCATTCCTTCTTCAGGAATTTTACCAGCAAATAACCGATATCGCGGATATATTAATTTCTTCTCACCATTTATAGCATATATAGCGAATTCAATGTCTCCATTGGCGCAAAAATCCCATAATATAGTTGATTGTCCTGTGGTGATATCAATTTTATGAGAATATGTGGCACCACTACGAATATCCTGAAACAATTACAGTAAAATATTTTGGATAACTAGGAATCTAATTTCACTGGATAATCACCAAGAATGAAGGTAAACGAATAAGAAAGGATAAAAGCACCATTTATCAGTGAGAAATTCAGATTTAAGAATCCTCATAATTACTAATTATATTTGTTTCGCTGGTGCCAAACAAATATGTGTTGGCGATAGAAGTACGAATGAGTTGCCAGCACCCAGATTTTTGGACAGGTTTGTTCCTGCGGAGAGCAGAGAGCAGAACCTCAGCATCCTCCCTTCGAAATGAGTGAAAAGTAACTCATTGAGCCATTTTACCTCTATATTTATTATATTAGTGAAATATTAAGAACCTGATGATTTGTCTCTGAACGTTTAATGCCCTTCTTTTTATATAAACTATGCGATTGAAGGTGGTCGTTTGATGTGATTTTCCTTCGTCGGCTAACACCACTATCGTCACCAGGTGCAATAGTATTTATGAAATCACCTAAAAATATAAATATAAAAAACAAAATATAAAAATGAAAAATAAAAAAATAAAAATAAAAAAAAGTATAAATATAAGTTTTGCTTATTTTTAATTTAGTATATTTTAAAAATAATTTTTAAATCAAATTATTTTTCAAAATTTTATTTGTTTAAAAATTAAAGTTCACTTAAATTTTTTGGTAGGTAAAAGTATGGAATTATACCTCCAAATTCCTTTGGTATAAACCATGATGGTAAATGATTTAATAGATCTTTCTTATCACTAATTATCTCTATAAGTTCTATATTATGATCGTTCATAAATAACTTTGCAATCTTCCATAATATATTCGCAAATTTTGGTGGATTAACTATAAAAATCCGTTGTACGGTCTCGGGATACCTAAATTATTATTAAATTTTAAAATTTATCTATAAAATCGTCATGTTGATTGATAATTATCACCTAAGTGCGATAATGATAATAGTCTTGGTGATAATAATGAACAATAATGATAATAATCAACTAAAAATTGATCCTCCTAGTTTGAATTTTATTTTAATTTATTGCTAAACTAACCAATTTTGCCAAAGTTCTGACCGTAAATTCCAAAATTTCATATGAGTACTTAATGGATTTAAGTTATCAGTGATATTAACTTCACCAAGATCAAAAAGTACAATGAACTGAACGGGCTTATTGCCATTTTGTGCTTTTTCTCGTCTTAAAATAAGCTGAAATATTAAAATATTTATTGAGTACACAGTAAAAATTAAAATTATTTATAATTTAAATTTTTTTTATCAGTTGATCTTTATATTTGATTTGATTTTTGATTTTTCTTTCTAAATTTTTATACATTTTTTAGAATCTTTTAGAAAAATTTCAAAAAATTATTTTAAATTATTTGTTATTATTATTAATTATGTTAAAGAATTATTTTCTTTTAAATAAATTTTATCATCGATTATTATCAGTTCATTATCAATTAATTTCTAGCTGGAATATTAATTAATTACTTTAATTAATTACCTTTATTAATTGCTTTTTAAATGCAATATTAATTACTTTTTAAATTTCCGATTATTCGAAAACAAAAATCATCCTTTCAAGTTTAATTAATAATTGCGCACAGAAAAAATTACATATGTTGCATAGTGATGATATGAATTTAGACGTTGGAAAATAGAGCGGTTTGAAAAGCAGCCAGCGTAGTCAGCCTAACAACCTAACCAATAATGGTGTGAACTATTAGCGGAATAACTCTAGATTGTTCAAAATATTATAATTTTAGGTTAAATTTAAATCCAACAAGAACTAATGGGCTAAAATTACTAAAACTTATGTGTAAAACTAAATCAAGGACTCATAATTTCTTTATTCGTAATATTAATTTCTGGAATTGCCGAACGACATAGTTTGTGCGCCATCCCTAGCTATCTTTAAAAAAAGAATAGATAATATTATTTATGATATTATTTAAAAAGTTCAGATCATGCAGGAAATGTGAAATCTCGATTTTTACCAATTATAATTATTTCGAATTATACTATATTATATTATTTTATAATTTCCTCTTTATTTCATTTTTAAATTGTTAATTTTATTTTCTTCATTAATATTTATTATTCGTTATATATTTATTATATATTATTTATTATTTGTTATGTATTTATATATATATATATATTTATTATATATTATTTATATTATTTATATATTATTTATATATTTATTTGTTATTTATATATTTATTTGTTATTTTACCTATTGTTATTAATACAAGCACATGGCGTTTGCGCTCTGCTTGGCTGGTTTTCAATAAATAAATAAATAAATTATAAGTTAGATGTAACTAGATGTACCAGAATGAATACTAAAAAAAAAAATCAGTGAAAGAAATATTTTTTTGAAATTTTTTTTTTTTTGGTTTATTAGTTGGCTAAAATAATTTGAAAGATATTTTTTTAAATTGACCTGTAAAAGCATTTCTGAATAACCAAAACAATGTAATAAATAATCACTACAACGCAACACTTTCGTAAACTGAAATTATTTATATTATTTTTACATTTATTATTTATTTTTATTTATATTTTTTTTCAACAAGTATCAAATAATTTTAATGGTGTTAAAATTGACTGGTGATAAACTGATAAGCCTCTATCAGCAAATAATTATAGTGTCGAAGATCATTTTAATTTTAATGATGCTAAGCAAATTAAAAATTCTGCATATAATTAATATAATTAAGAAAATCAAGAAAATAGACGAAAATAAATAAATCATTTGAGAATAAAAATTTATATGGTTCTTTAGCATTATAGGAATTTTTTTTTAGCAAATAATAATAGATAGATAATTGTTAAATTATTTAAGAAATATCAATTTTATCTATAATATTTAAAGAATTTATCGCCTATTAAATTTTACCTCTTTTGGCTGTGACCAACCTCGTTCAACGAATAGAAACGCATTATGTTCATCGGACCAAACACGATCATTTAATCGACTCGATGCAATATATTGCAAGAATGGTTTTATTTTGGGTAAATCGAAAAATTTCTCAACAAAATCTGGTAAATCGAAACCAGCTGCATGTCGTGACGCAACATAAACGGGAAAAATCTATGAATATTTTATTAAATAAATAAATAATTGCCTTTAATTTAATTATAGCATTTCATAATTAAAATAGATTTAGTGCAAATAAAAAAAAAAAAAGAACTACGAAAACGAAGAGACCAAATCTATGGTACTTGGCCATTAAATTTTTAATCTAAAAAAAGTAAAAAATAATAAAAAATATTAATAAAAAATTAATTACTTTTGAAGAAATTTTTAAGTAATTTAAACAATTTTTTAATGAATTGAAAAATTGATGAGAAAATAAAAATTTATTTTTCATTTTTAATAGATAAAATTGCTCAAAAATTATATAAAAATAATTTTCATAATTAAAGTTAAAAATTAACAAAAACTACCTGAAGAATTTTTTCAATATTTTTTTGATAGCCTCGAATCCAACGAACTAAATTTAAATTTGTATCCAAATCGGTGGGTATACCATTTGGAATTATTTGCATTAATTGCTCTCGCAATTGGCCAATTAAACGAAATTCATCAGGTGAAATTTCAGGTGCAGCTTTTCGATGCAATGCCATTTCCCTAAATCTTCAAAATTTATGAAATTCATTTTAGTTTTAGGATTGAAAAAAGAATTTATTCGAAAAAAAATGCGATACATTATATTAAAAAACTTGAATTAATGATAAAAAATAGAAGAAAAAAAAATTAATAAATAGAACAAAACAGAAATGAAACTATAAGCATATGATAATGTGATAAAGTGATAAAATGAATAGGATGAATAGATGAATTGTGATAATTGTTTCGACTCGGCTAGGCGGAGGAATCCGATCTATCTATAATTCAATTCTTAAATAACTTTATGAAAGATGAGTACCAATCTAGTAGAACCAATAAAAATAGCCGAATTGAAAACCTAATGGATAATATCCCGAATTTCTTGAAAATAACTTAAGATGGAAGGTGTGATACAAGGAACCAAATGAACCAAATGATAAGCAACAATCATATAGCATTTTTAAGAGAACTTTAAGAAAAACAGCTAACTTTTGGTAAATCAATTTTTTTGTTGTTCTGAACAACTGTCAGCCTTTTATCAAATCTAAGCCACAAAACAAAAAGATTTTATCGAAAGGATGAAAAATGAAAAAAATTTTGCATAAGTGAAAAAACAAAATAATTTCATAAAAAACCTGAAAAGTCATCTTTATAAGTCATCCTTTATAAGTCATCTTGTAGTCACCTTAAGTTTAAGTTTAAGTCTTTTTATAAGAAAGAAGTTCCAATGACTGGACCAGTGGCTGACCAGCCAGTGGTATATATATATATATATATATATATTGACAAGCTCTCCGATTCTCTTATAGAGATCCCTTAATTGTACTAACAGACAACGGAGCTAGTCTAACCGGTAATAGTGAACTCTGATTGATTGATTATACAAAAATATGGAATGAATAGAATACTATAAACTTTAAATAAAAGAATATTATAATCAACCTTAAATTTTCCACATTTCCACATTGCTTAGGTAAATAATAGCAACCTATTTCGCCTTTTTCGCAAATTATTAAGCTTGGCACTATTAGGTATATTTGCTAGACAAACGGTGAAAACTATCAAGAAATTAGTATTATATGCTATAGATCGTTTCGAAATAGGAACTGTTGACCGTTAAGGTTGCATTATTTCTCCCAAAATATTCAACTATGCCATTGATTGGATTATACATTCGCTTGCTCAATAGGTCCATAAGTCCGCCTTGAGCTTGGAATTATACAGTTTGGACACCCTAATGATCTAGTCTTTAACAGTTATGTGTTACAGTTAACAGTTATGACGAAATTCAAGAGATGCTAGATAGCGTATCGACAATTGTACCATGAATCAGTTTCAAGACCCGAGTAATACGATGAAAGTCTTCGACTGATAAATCACCTATCTCTATCGGTCTATCACTGATTGAAAAAATGCCAGAGTTTTTAAAAATCTCGAAACTATCGTTACCAATTATTAAAATTAACCAAATATCAAACAGAATCGCAGCCCGGATAACTGACAACTAGAAAAAATGCGCTTTAATGCTTTTATTTTCATTTAGTTCCAACAGTATTTTTGGTTTCTCTTTACTATCTATGCCAAAGAATCACATGGAAATGGCAGTTGTACTTTTAAGAAATCACTAATAAATTAAAATTTAAAAAGTGAAAAAAGTTAATCAGTCTCGTTCATTACTGAATAATGGAAATGTTTTTGAATGGCTCAGTAGATCTTTTATATCGGAGAGCGTCCATGTTGAGCTACCAGGAATAAAATAGTCATTCAAAAATATTGGTACTGCCGGTGAATCATATGTAATTCTATCGGTAAAAGACTACCTCATAGAAAAAGCCTGGTTGAATAAGCCAGGCTACCAAAGCTTACGAGATAATGCTCTCTAAAAAGAAAGAAAAAACTGGTGATGAAAAATTGAAATAAAATTTAGAAAAAATATGCCTAACCTTTTCAAACTATTTAAATCAACATTGATAATCAGTTAAATTTTTTTTAACGACTTACGCTTATATCACGGAATGAAACGATAGAATGGCTCAGTGGATTATTGTATTCATTTCAGAACTCCGATTTTGGCGTTTCACTCTCAATATGAATAAACCTATCTTTCAAAAGTCCGATTAATGCTGGTGATATCTGTATACTTCTATCTCACCAATTGGCAAAACCTCGCTGTACTGATAAACCAGTGGAATTAACCAAACCTAGTGAGCGAACCCAAAAAAAATGAATGAAATGCAATATTCAAGCAAAAAACTTGAGTTTTTGGAATACTATTTGTCTATTTGTTGAATTCGTCGAACTATCATCACTAAAATATAATTTCATATCACTTTTGCATTTTTTCCTTAAAGTTGAACCAAAAAATTATAAAGAAAATAAACATAATAAAAATAATAAAGAAAATAAATCTTCTTACATAGATAATAATACTAATAGTACTAATAATAATAATAACACTAATAATAATAAATAATAACAAATAATAATAACAATAATAATAAAATTGTTGTTATCATTATTAATCATTAATAATTTTATCATTAAATCGATAGATAATCATACATATATATATAAATGAAAATTTAAAATATTCAATAAATAAATATTTTATTAAATATAAAAATAATTAAAATCAATGAAGAAGATAGAAATAGATACGATCGTAGCGCCATTATAAAATATATAAAATATAATATATATTTTAAATGACCTTGAGTAAATAAATTGATAATCGAATAATAGGCCAATTGAACTAAAATATCTGATCGTTTTACCTTATATAAAGGTCCAATAATAAAAATTTTTAGAATATCGATAATAAAACAAGTATTTTATATAAATAATTTTCGTGAAAAGGACAAATTTAATAAAGTGTCGTAAACAAGTGGCAAAGTACTATTGTAAAAAATTTCAGTATTTTCTATTTAATAATAATAATTATTATTATTGGTACACTCTTCTGATTTGTATGAATTGCTTTGTTATTTTTAAATATTTCTAAATATAAATAAATGTGCTACTTTTTCTAATATTACTGGTACCATCATTACTGGTTTGGCATACTCAATTGGCGACTAAGATAAGTTATTTGCAGTTTGTTTCTTTAAAATGCACTGAATTTGAATTTATGACAAAACGGAATTCTAGAACTAATAGTTAATATTGTTATATTATTAAAAATTTACAAATTTTTTTAGTTATTAATAAATGTTAATTTTTATTTTCTAAGAACGCTCAATATTTCTGGCTAGAATCGCTTGGCTAGCTTATTGAATTCGACAAATTTCGACACTAGCAAGTCAGTCATTTGACGATAGAAGTAGTATAAAGGTGAATCGCTAATGTCGGGGATAGAATTGCTCAGTGGGTTGTTGCCCAATTGGGAACGCCGATGCCGAGGTTCGATTTCCTGCAGGAATAACCTGTACAAAAATCCTGGTGATGCTGTAAACTCACCTGTATTTCTATCGCCAAGGGACTCTCTGGATATTTTTGCCCAATGCGAAAAGCCAGTGGAACGAGTGAACCAGTAATGGTGAAGACGCTTAAAAAAAAAAGAATCGTTAATATCAACCGGATTTTTGAAAGGCAAAGTTGCTACTACCGAGAATAGAACCTTAGCATCGAATCAATGTTTGAAAATAATCATAATTCACTGAGTTATTGCCAAATCTTTCGAGAGGTCATTACATGTGAATGACTGATAAAATATAATAATAATAAATAATATAATAAAATAATCTTTAAAAAGAAATAATTAAAAAAATTAGAAACAATTTCACAAAATATTGAAAATGTTTATCATTTATCATATCAAATTTAATTTAATCTCTATGAAAATTTTTCGAAATTTCGAAAACAATTTAAAATTCATTGATAAATGAAAAAAAAAAGAATTCGATAAGATCACTTAAATCAACACAAATTCAAATTAATCAAATTCTAATGCTAATAATGATTTTTTATTAATTTTTAATAATAATAATAATTTTAATTTTTTCTATTTGAAATATCCAATTATAATTTAAAAAAATAATTCTTTTTTAAAATATAAATGGTACTCGTAGTTGAGAATTTGCAGTTTACCAATTATTTTAATTGAAACTGCTGAAATTGAATCGGAATTTGAATAATAAAAATCTGATGTTCGTAAAAATTCGAATACAACTAAAATATTTGGTAATTCTTTGAAAATTTCATTGAAACAGCTAGGCGGATTCATATTTAGGTCAACGATAGTTTAAATTTGAATCTTCCAAAAACCTTAATTTTCGTTTGATCTTCCTTTACGCTATCAAATCAGCAAATATAATTTTATAAAATTAGGATTATTCTAGGAATTTTAAATAATTTATAATCTAACAAAGTATTTATATATACATACAAAATTTATAATTTTATAATTTTAAAAATGCTTGCAAGTTTTCTGACCTAAAAACCTAATTATGCAAAAATTTAAATCTTTATATTTTATATTAATCTAAATTGTCATGCATTTAATATAAATGAGACAATTACAGGAATTACAAGGAGATGAATTAATTTAAATTAAAATCTGATAAAATTAATTTTTATTTATCAAGCCTAGCAAGTTTTGCGAATTATGAATAATATTCTATAATATTTTTTAAAAAAATGAGATTTTGCTCAATACTCAAATTTTATGAATTTGGCTATATATATATAGCCAGGAGCTATTTTACCAAGCGATTTTTTTAACATATAATAAATATACATATAGAAAATTGAGCAAAATCTCATTTTTTTAAAAAATACTATAGAATATTATAATATTTTAGTTATTCAAAATTGTGTATTCAAAATTAATTTTACGAATATTTAGTATAATTCAAGCATATTTTGTCTAAGAAAAATAATCGAAAAAATCATTATTGCTAAAATTACTAAAATTTTCGATATTTCTAAAAAATTACTAAAATTTTCGGTATTTCACCACAAAACGTAAAAGCAGAAATAATAAACTTAGAAATTAATTAAGCAAAAGATAAGATAAGAT